AAATTAATGTAACTGGTAAAGAAATGTAATAGCAAATTGCTCCAGAATAAACCTGAAAGAAACCCCTTGCTCATTACTTACCAAAAAGCCTCCGCCCAGAATGCCATGAAGGCACTCCACGTATCTGCCGAGGTGATGCTCGGAAGCGAATCTTGTCTCGCCATTGGGAAAATAAAGTAAAATGTTGGCCACGATGCAGAGCAAGGCAAGGACGAGCAGCTTGTAACCAATACAGCTAGCACCCCTTCCCAAACACATGGCCTCAGCTTTACAAGTCCTTCTCGCAGTAGTGCAATTCCTCCTCTCTCATCCCTGTCCACACCTAAAAGAAGATCAGCCCTTACTCTCACCTCCTTAAATACTCAGGGTTACCTTGCTGCCCAGGTGACGTTCACAGCCCTTCGCAACGACCGTCCCCAGTTGCAGAGGGAGGGAGCAGGGGTGGCAGGATGCCACCACCCTTTTAAAATGCAATAATTGTTGTCAAACCAAATGCAATCAAGGAAATACGGAATCCGAGGTAATTTCACCCTAATACCTGGAAAGGTCAGCAGTCAACATGATCAGTCACGAACAACAGGCTTAAACCACAACACACGCTCTGTTTGGAACCGAAGGAAGGAGGTGGTGTTGTCTTTGGGAGCAGCACCTTTGAGGTTTATAGACTGATTCAGAACCACCCGAAGCCAGGGACAGACTCGGCTGACTCCAACAGCACTGAGTCAGAGCTTTGGGTACAGAGAACGAGGTCTGCAGCAACGCGGGGTGTGTAGGGCAACCTCTCCTTTGCTGTCCTGTGATGGGATGGAGCAAACCTCACCAGGAGACTGGAGAGCAAACAGAAGGGGCCGGTAGGCTGCTGCCAGTGTCCTTGTTCTCGCCATTCTAAGAGAAGCCAAGTGTAAATTAACAGCCATTCGTTAAAGCAAAACCAAGCAAACACTGGGGAAGAATCCTGCCTCAAAAAGAGGATTTAAATGCAGTCCTTGCACTGAAACGGCACACAGAGAAGCACGAAAAGGCCCAGGGAGAAACGCATGACGTCGGGTTGAAGGTAACCGGCGCAGTAAACGGAGATACAAAGTGACCTGGGAAAATTCCCATCTAGCCTTCTCCCTTTCCGCTCGTGCAGATTTTGTGAAGACAGCCCGAAGCTCCCGCGCTCGCACGCCCAGAGCCCAGCGGCACGAGCTGCCGGGAGACGCGCAGGCCAGCCGGGACCTGGGATGTGCCGCTGCTGCCGTTGTCGTGACGGTGTAACTCTCATCGCAAAGACCCAGCTTGGGAACGCACCGGGGGCTGGGGGCCTGTCGGGAGGCCGCTTCAGTTACTTAAGGGGAAAAAATACTTACTCAGGTGGTTTGGTTTGGGGGGCTGTGTAC